GACTCGAGGGGGGAGGAGGGGCAAGGGCAATATACGTAATGTTAACATTTGTATCCCCATAATATGCTGAAAAAAATAATTAATTAATTAAAAAAGAATTTATGAGTTTTGCTGATTACTGAATATGAGTTCAGGGAGCAGAATGGACAAGTTTCAGGAGTGGGAGAGGTGAGAGGTGAAGTCAGAAGACATACGGAATTATAAAAAGTGGGGGTTTTAGTGATCACAGGTGACCTGGAAGCCCTAGGTGTCTTGTGGAGACTGATGTAGACAGCTTAAAGGACATAGTTAATGAGATTCACCTTGTGGTTCTCAAGGCTGTGAACTTGGGAAGTATCAGAATCTTGCCAGGAACAGAGTCAGGGGGTCCCTCTACTCTCCTGCCTATGACTACATAGAGATGTCTTAATATCTGAGCAGCAGCCATTCAAAAATAGGAAATACTCTAAGCTTTCATCCCCTTCCTTGAGGGCAGTTTCTCGCTTTCCTTGAGGATTACAGATGATGAAACTAAGCCCAGAAAGTTGAAGAGATTAAGCATCAGGCCACATGGAGAGGTGGTTGTTATATAGAGCAGAGAGGGCTTCTTTTTCTTTTGAAAAAGTCTGTTAAAGTGTTTTTCTAAACAAAAGAGATTCTACCATAGGTTTATTACCTTAGAGTCATACAGATCAGGACAAAGCTTTGAAATTACCAGTAAAAAGGGTCTTGAGGAATATCAATTTAAGAATAACCTACCAAAGGTATTGAAATAGAAGGGCCAACAGTCAGATTCCAGGTCTCCAGTATGATGCCAACTGTGGCAGTGGCAAAAACAGTTGATTCCATGAAGGACCACAGTTGTGTTTACACAATAACTGTAAACCTCATTTTTTGAGTTCATGCTGTGATTGTGTAAGTCTGCCAGTGATGTGATGAGGTGTGTCTTGTGAGTCTAGTAGCACATCCTTTCAGATAGGGTCAAAGCTAGGTCATCAAACACCAGGTTTTTTAGTCTATTACACTCTGCAATTTAGTTGTATCTAGGAAATTGTGACTAATAATCACAGCTCAATTTTATTAAGCACCAGGATGTATGTTATGCACTTGATAAGCATCATCTAAATATTTCAAGGCTGGAACTGCTGTTATCCCTCATTTATCCAATGAAGAAACTGAGTCACAGAGCAATTAAGTTACTTGGATGAGGCTTCCATCTAGAGCTGGCAGAGCCATAATTCTAACCTCATTAGATTAACTGCAATGCTTTCACTCTTAATCACTATGCTATAGTGCTTTAAGCAGCAAGGCTTCACACAGATAGACAGAGATAGACAAACAGATACTTTTTAATCACATGGATAGAAATTGTGATTTGTCTTACTTCTTATGTTCCAATTTCCTTTCCTTTTTCTTTTAACAATAATTATTTATTACAAAAAAAGAATTGGGTAGTTCTAATTTGAGTCCAGGAAATTACCAGGTACCCCAGACAAAACTGCAAGATCTACATTCTCTTACTATCTAAGGTACATTCTCTTATTAAATAGATCTCAACAATGGTGTCAGGTGTTCATGAAAGGTATAACTTACTAAATAGAGCTATAATAATGATCTGGAGACAAAGCTTTGTTGTGTAGATTTTTTAGACTATAGCCTTAAAATTAACTAAACAATTAACAAGCATTAAAAAAGTATTCATTATTTTTCATCCAAGACACTAAGAGAGAATATACTTAGATTATTCAAAAAAGAAAATCAACATTTTATACATTTTACTAATAGCTTACACAAAATAAGTTGCTGGTCACAAGCCTTCAGACATTTCTGGTCTTATTTAAAAAATGTTGCAATTATAAAAGAGTGGTTGGCTGAAAATAAAACAAAAACTTCATACACAACAAAGCAGTGATGAAACCCCTATTCTTATTTCATTAAAGATATATTTCATTTTAAGGCCGGGCGCGGTGGCTCACGCCTGTAATCCTAGCTCTCTGGGAGGCCGAGGCGGGCGGATTGCTCGAGGTCAGGAGTTCGAAACCAGCCTGAGCAAGAGCGAGACCCCGTCTCTACTATAAAATAGAAAGAAATTAATTGGCCAACTAATATATATACAAAAAAAAAATTAGCCGGGCATGGTGGCGAATGCCTGTAGTCCCAGCTACTAGGGAGGCTGAGGCAGGAGGATTGCTTGAGCCAGGAGTTTGAGGTTGCTATGAGCTAGGCTGACGCCATGGCACTCACTCTAGCCTGGGCAACAAAGCGAGACTCTGTCTCAAAAAAAAAAAAAAAAAAAAAAGATATATTTCATTTTAAAGGAAGAAAGAATAGCTACCCCATAAGCATCTGAAAATAATTTTTATTGTAATTTTTGTACTTTCAGCATATTCAACCTTCCAACTTCCCATGAAGTTATATGAGTTTTAAGAGACCTATAATATAAAACTAAATAATCTACTCAATCATTTTTTTAAAATGTGTAAACTGCATAATATTTTACTTATTTTGATGGTATCACTGCAATCTACATATCATTAGTATAAAAAAACTGTAAAAAAAATAGCACATAGTATATTACTTCACCAAATTCTTTTTTCTTTTAGCAGTAGTTTTAGCCTACTATACAGAGATAGACACACAGATACATACTGAAGTATACTCTACTTGGGTGGTTTCTCCTTTTAATTTACATTTTTTTAAATGTTTTTATTTCCAAATATTATGAGAGTACAAGTCTCTTTGATGACAGAGGATGGAGGTCTTGATAATCCTTTCTCTTTCCCCAGCCCTGGGTCTTCTTAGTGGTGTGAATTGTGTTGGCATAACCATTTTAATCTCTGAGACAGTTTGTGGTGTTTGTAAGAATCAACCACACCCTTCATGATTGAGTCAGTAAATGCTGTGAGGGCATGCAAATTGACCTTTCTGTCAGTAGGTGGCATTTGCTGGAAGATACAAGTTACAATGTTGTTTTGGAGCCCTGTGATTGACTCTAGTCCCTCGGGAGAAGCATTTGAATGCCCCAGGTGGGTTTGGCCCTGCAACTCCCAGGTGAGCCCTTACTCTCTGCCACAAGAGGCAGATGGGAGAGTGTGGCTGAGCAAGGCTGGGTCAGGTGAGCTTTCCCTCAGGCTCCACAAAAGCTGGCAAGGTAGCTGTTTCAGCAGAGATCAAAGGTCTGCTCCCAACTTCTGGGCAAAGCTGCCAGGGAGCAGCTGAAGTGGTGGATGTCTGCTGATACTTTGCTCCTTCCTGTTCTGCTCCATAAATTCTTCCCATGTTGTCTCCTGAAGGTTCTAGCACCCTTCTCTCAGATCCACACCTGATCTCTGTCTGTCTGTTCATTTTTTCTCTTTCATCTAAAACATCTCCTTCTTATTGAGACACCATGGCAGCTGGTGTCTCTGGTCAGCCATCTTGCCTCTCACCTCTTAATTTACATTCATTCATTTAGCATACATTTATTAATGCCTACTACATGCCAGGCACTGTGATAAGTATGAGGAGTCTTTCAGCTTTCACGAAGTTATGGTTCCATTAGTAAGTATTTCAGATATTGCAGCTGAACATTTTTACATGGGTAGAACCTTTAGAAAACCTCCTAACTTATCACATGAGTGACTGTCAATTCTGTTAGCTTTCTACTTATACTTTCACAATAATCTGTAGCCACTACCCGGGATTCTTTTAACAAATATTTTAGAAAAGTTTTCTATTTTTTGTTTAGCACTAAATAAACAATGGTTAAATAAACAAGCCCCTCTATGAATAGGAAGAAAGAAGACCTAAATGAACTTCAACATTCAAACTAAAACCATGAGAGTAGCTGAACCCTTCAATGAGTTAAGGAATTCCTCTGTAAGATGAAGACATGAATGATTTATCTGAGGTGGATGGTATTTGAAGACAGAGGCTTTCATCAACCCTTACATGATCCTGAATAAACTCTAAATGTCACAGATTTGATAGAACTTTAACTTATGGTAAAGAGCTATAAAACGTAGCTTTTAGGGAGATAAGATTTTAAGATTATTTTCTATTAAAACTATTACACCCACCAGACCCTAGCTTTGTGTGCGTATTTGCCAGCATTTACCTCCACACATATATATTCAATTCTAGACTCAATTGAGACCTATACATTATTCTATCGACCTGCAGCCTCAAATTATTTGATCAAGCCTTAAAAGAATTTAAGTTATTGACCAACATAACAATCAAAATTTTGAAACACACTCATTGCATATCTTTAAGATTCTAACATTCTATTGACAAATTTAGGTTTGGTGAATATTGGTTGGAATAATAAAAATGTATTTTATAGAATTTAAGTTTGGAAGTGACCCCCCCCACCTTGATTCTTGACTTCCTTCTATAATTATCCAAACAAATAAAAGCTGGTAACATTGTAGTCGGATAAAATGACATTTTATGGAAAAATGTCTTGAAAACCCAAGGGAGAGTTTGTTCTGAAAACGTTTGAAAATTTCTTCCAAAATCAATTGAAGTCCCAATCTACAAGAAGAGTTTTTCCTTAATGACAGCCTGAAGCTCAAGAACATGAGTAACAAGTTAAAAAGAAGGAAAACTCCAAATAGTTTCTTTGAATTAATAGCCCCCTAGGTCTTTGAGTAGTTCAAGTTCCAGAGAGTTTCTCAATCACACGTAAGGGACTTTAAAGAATCGTATATATTTTCTTTTGAAGAATTTTATGTATTTTTTAATACAGCAAAAACTCAATCATAGATAAAACTTAAAAATTATAAGAACTTATAATTTACTAAAACCTTTGATATTCATACACATTTTTAAAAATCCAATCTCTCAAATTCAAATAAAAGAGGCTAAGTATTAGTTCTTAGTAGTTGTTTCCAAAATCTTTTTATCTTTTGACATAGTATTTGAAATGAAATATAAAGAAAATAACTGTTCAATACTAGCTCTCTGGTTTTGCATTTTAAACAAATACAAAATAATGACCATCATTGTGCTGCTACCAACATTTATGTAGTGAAACTCACAAGGTTCTTTGTGTAATCCCACAGAAGAGGTCATGGGTCGAATGGGCCAGCCAAGGTGGACAGGTAAGATATGTAATGATTCCAACATTCTGTTTCCAAAACATAAATTTAGATCTTTAAATGATTCAATAGTCCCTGTTTTTTAATACAAATCGTCAAGACTAATGTTATAGGATTAAATACTAATCACAGAAAAAAAACCACTTGCCTCCACCTGTTGTACCCTCAACTACCTGCAGAGTAAATATTTATTACTTAATGAAGACAAAATAATACCAAATTTTGCTGGTTCTGAGGATGGATAACAAATAGGGACATTTGCTTTCCAACTGAGCCCCATCTAACAAAAATAGGAAAAATGCACACATTATATTTATCTATTTCTTTGCAGTTTTATAAGAGATTTTAAATAACACATTTTCCTAACATGATTTGGAGCCACATGAGCTTAATAGTAATATACTGCATAAAAACTTTAGAAAATGTGAATAAGCAAAAGGAAAGAAAGTAAAAATCACCCCAGTCTCATCATCCTGATATTTTAGTAATAATTGCAAACCCTTAAATGCTTCCTATAGGCCAGAAACTATTCTAATCCTCTTACATGTCTTACCCGAGTTAATCCTCACAACAAGCCTCTAGATATTTAACTGTTATAGCCATTGTATAAATGAGAAAACTGAGACATTTAGAGATTAAGTAGTATGTAGATCAGATTATCCCAGCTAGAAATGTGTGGAGCCAGGGTTTGAATGCAGGTAGTGTGACTTCAGGAACCATATTACCATTTTATACTGACTCCATTTGTCATGATTAACATTCTATACCTTTACTATGTTTAAGTGTATGTAAATGCTATGAACGTTTTAACTAATTTTTGTACTTAATATATCATGGAGATCTTTCTTTGCAAATGTACAAAAATGCACATTATGTTGGCCCCTTTACATAGAATTCTGCTGTATGGATTTAACAAACTGATGGCTTATTTACCAGTCCTCTTTTGCTAGATATTTTAGTTACTTCCACTTCTTTGTTATTTATAAAGCAGGATGAAAATATTTGAACCTATTTGTGCACCTGTCCAATTATTTTTTTGTTCCTATAAATGTCTAGAGATGAAATTGCCAGTTCAAAAGTTATATAAATATTATATAAATTTTAGGATTTTAAAACATTTTTCACACTCAAAAACCAGGGTCTCTCAGGGAGGAGACTGTGACTGTCCTGTTCAGAGCTTTACACTTGGCACACAGTAGAAACTCAATAAATAGTAAATAAATGACTAACTATACGATCTATTAGTTTAACTGTCCTTTTTGTGGTCATACCCATGGAGTTAGCCAAAGGACTGAGGTATCTCTAAAATTATGTCAAGAGAAAATACAAGAGATTTGTATATACAGGTAGTTTTATAAAATTCCTTTTGAAATTCTAGAATTTATTTATATACCACCAAGAATGGGGCCAAGAATCATTGATCAGATGTAGTTTGCTCTGCTTTCTAATATCTAGTGCATAGATAAGTATTATTTAATGTCCAAATCAGAACTAATTGCATTTTTTCAATGATTTCCTACTAACGAAAGATTCTAATAGAAGTAGACGATTCATCCACTTAAGCAATATTTTACAAACATTAAGGTAAAACGGGCCGGGCGTGGTGGCTCACGTCTGTAATCCTAGCTCTCTGGGAGGCCGAGGTGGGCGGATTGCTTGAGGTCAGGAGTTCAAAACCACCCTGAGCAAGAGCAAGACCCCGTCTCTACTATAAATAGAAAGAAACTAATTGGTCAACTAATATATATAGAAAAAATTAGCCGGGCATGGTGGCACATGCCTGTAGTCCCAGCTATTCGGGAGGCTGAGGCAGGAGGATTGCTTGAGCCCAGGAGTTTGAGCTGTGAGCTAGGCTGACGCCACGGCACTTACTTTAGCCTGGGCAACAAAGTGAGACTCTGTCTCAAAAAAAAGGTAAAATGACAGTTGTTTCAACACAATGGGAAATTCCATGAAGGATTCTATCATTATTTTATAATTTCCTCATTCTGTTATTAACTTGATCAGAATAACCTCAACACAAATTGTCATGTGACATACAAAAAAACTCTCACTGATCACAAAACTAGGGGAAAAGTACCTGCTCACTTTTCTGAATTATATTATAATGCATTTACAGAAATGCATTTGCCATACTTCCAAATGCACCAATATTATTGGCTAAAAAATTAGCGCTACTAAATAATAAATAAAATTTTTGATGGTAAATTAACATTTAGAATGTTCACATTTATCATTATTGTCATAAAAGAATATTTTAATGTATAGTTTTGAATTTAGAATTCAAATGTACATTGAAGAATTTCACCTTCTTAAATTTGAAAATGTAGAAGTATTCAGTTTTGTTTTCCCTCCACAGGTCAAAAATGGACAAGTTTGAAAAAAAGAAGAAATCATACATTTTTAAGACTCTATCATATTTCTTCAAGTTTTGTCCAACGAAATTTCTTTTGCTGGGTCAATATTTTTATGGTCTACCTTAAAATATTGTATCATCTTAACAATTAGTATTTTTCAAGGCACCATCAGAGGAATTGTAAGTAGTTTATATACAATTTCCCTTACAGGGGTCTATTTAACTTAAGAGACCTTTCCAGAGTCTCATAAAGAACTGGATAATTCATACTAATTGGTCCTAGTGCCTATCCCTGCATTGTAAACAATCCCCTATTTTCTGACTGATTCTCTTATCCTTTCTGTTGCTTCTCCTCTAACTGCTAAGCTTCTTTATCTTCATTATGTGGCGAACTGGATTTCAATAAAAATTTCAGTCTAATGACATTTTATTTGTCTAGTTAAAGCACAGGTTTTTGAAAACCCTGAGTCACCATGTCCCCAAACTCACATTCGTCTTTCCTTCTGCATTCCCATCACACTTCTAACATTAATGAAATGAGCTAACTGCTAAGATAGGAAACAAGTTACCACCATAAGCTAGCTATAAATAAAGACAAGGCTGCCCAGGTGCACTGAAGTTCAGGCTTTATATGCCCTGGGCTGTCATTGGAAGTACATGCACTTGCTCTTAATTTCAAAGGGTGTTGATCTTCCTCATTAAGCTGAACATGTTTTCATTAAAAATGGGATGTTAGGGTGTCAAGAGACCTTTATCTTCCACCAGTTGCCTAAGAAACAATTTTATTTGGGAAATATTCTACTCTTTTGAGAAATACATCACAGTGAAAAATATTATACCTGATCAGATTTTTAATGAGTGCATCACTTGTCCCTAAGTCATTACTATTCTTCCTTGGCTTACTATCTTCATCGAAATATACTGAAAATAGTTTTCATAGTACAGTTAACTTTTCTAGTTATTAAAAGCTTACTGGAAATTCTAAACTGTTTGGCTAAATTTCTACATTAATGACTGTCTGAAGAGCTTCCACTCTGCTAGACCAAACTGAACCCTGGGTTAAAATGGGTAAAGGCAGAAAGGCAAATTTTAAAACTAGTAAATTCCCAATATGATCATTTCTTTTTCTTTGTAACTATCTTCCCTTATTATAGATAAAATCAAACCTTAAGGATTAAGGCTGTACACATATACCACTCTTTCAAATTTGAGTATTGTATACACTTAAGCCAAGAAAGTGGTTACTCTGAGCATCGATATTCTAGTGTTAAGCACGGTTCAAAGCATGAATGTTGGAAGACCCACAACCTTTCTTTATAGCGATGGTAGAATTTTCTCAAATTTCTATTATTTATAGTTGTGCCAATTACCACATATTTCTGACCATGTTATAATATTAATGAATTAAAGTAAAACAAGCCACTAATACATTTTAAGAGAGCAGTATTTACATTCTATAAGTATAAATGTTCTTATAAAATATGTGCTTAAGGACTGTTAGAGGTTCTATCTGTAGCTTTAGGGCCAAAAATTGTGTACACAATTTTAAAGTTATCTTAAAGATGGTGATGCTATTTCGTGCAATAATTCAGAAAAGGAACTGACCCACCTCCAAACACTTTTGGAAAGCAGAAGCAATGCTCAAAATTCCTGCATTCAAACTATGTTCTGTAGAATCAGCCTCACCCTCTGTTAGAAAAAGACTAACCTTTAATCATTAGATTTTAAAAGGAAATTATAACTTATCCTGCTCCATAATTGCTGCAGATGAGTTATTAAAATTCTACACTTATGTAATATTTTCATAAAATATGGCATTTTTCTCAAGAAAGCCACAAATTGGATTTGAGCTTACGCACTGTAAAACCCAGATGGTTTGCTTAACTACTCAGACATCCTCCAGTTCAAAAGTTAATTGAATTGAAAACTAAAATTTTGATAATTGATATGCTTTAAGGGACTCAAGCAGAAGGATAAATTAGCCTCATGTATGGGGCATTAATAGACCTGAAAAACCACAACAATTGGTCAGAAAATACTGGCAAAGTAGAAGAAAATATATATTTACTATAGGTTAGCTAATTACATATTACCTGAACTCCCCAGGCTGGTATTGCTTTTCTTTCTCCATATTTTTACTCACAGATTCAATATTAGTCATTATTTTACTCAATTTTACTTGTTCTGGAATTTAAAAAAAAAAGGTTTAATTGTATACTACTATTGGTTTTCAAGTTCTAAATGCATTTTTAGAATTAAATTACAAATCAGATTTTTTTCTAATAACAAGAGGTATAATATTCTTTTTAAAAAATTGCTAACACAGAGATACTTTAAAAAACACATTTGAATGGTTTTTTTCACCCCATGCTACTCAGCTGTTTTGCAATTACTAAAATATAGGACTGAAGAGTATAGTGTAAATGAACTCATTATATCAGAAAGGAGACAGCTCCCAGAGAAGTGGCTGCAACAGCATAGCACATACCAAATGAATACAAACATCCTCATTTATATATATCAGCATTATTATTATCATTACAAAGCTTAGTTTCTATAGGAGGGAGTGCTATTTTAAAATAATTTGGCAAATCATTAATTAATATAAATAGGAACACTCTAGTGCTTCAGAAATCTCATCATTTGATAGAAAGACTGAAGTCCAGAAAAGGCAAAGGTCTCATTTTTTTAAAAGTCTGGCTCTTAGAGTCTAAAGAGAAATTTACATAAATATTTTTTAAATATCCATTACTTTCTATTGTGTACAGATAATGGGGCTAACAATCTATAGTTTGAAATATTATAACAAAAAATATTGTCAGGTATCTATTGAGTACCTTCTAGCTACTAGCTCAGGTTCATTAAAAGATACAGCAAACACATGAGACAAAATCCTCTGTTTTAGACAAATTACAAACTAGTTAGTATCTCAATACCAACAAATAGAAGGGCATACTAGATTGCATTATTTAATGTAGATTTAATATGTATAACAAAGAATATAAACTTTTTGGAGAAATGGAAAACAGAATATTAATATTTATTGACCAGTCAGCCTTCTGTATCCATGAGTTCTACATCCACAGGTTCAACCAACCACAGACTAAAAATATTTCAAAAAATAAAAATAAAAAATAATACGACAATAAAAATTAACACAAATTTTTAAAATAATATAATGTAAAAACTACCTAGCATTACATAGCATTAGGTATTTTAAGTAATCTAGAGAGATGATTTAAAGCATACAGGAGGATGTGCATAGGTTATATGCAAATACTGTATCATTTTATATAAGGGACTTGAATATCTCTAGATTTTGGCATGGATGAGGGGTCTGGGAACCAATCCCCTGAAAACACCAATGAAAGACTGTATTTATAATATACCAGGAGTATTTGTTAGGATTCCCTGTGAATTATTTCACATAACCCTTAGTAAAGTACTGCCAAGTATTCTCTTTCACATGTAAGGAGAAGCAGCTTTCCCAAGATCCTGTAACTTGGAAGGTTCAGAGCCAGGATTTGTCCCTCTTTATCACTCTTCTCTACCACCCCTGGGAACTCTCATCAGTGAAAAGGGGTAAATTTCTGCCTTACTTACTTCAGAGACTGACTGTAAAGCTCAAAAGACATGCTCTATATAAAGATACATGGTAAGGTGAGTGATGTATTAAAGTGAAGAGGTAGAGAATTCAAGAGAAAGAATTTTTGAGTCTTAAAAATAGAAACAATTAAAAATATTTGCCATGTGCCAAGTGTGCTAATTGCTATATATGGATTCCCATATTTTATTCTCATAGCCGTCACATAAATTAGGTACTATATTATTATCCCCATTTTACAGATGAGGAAACAGAAGCAGAGAAGTAGTGATTAACTTGCCCAGGGTTATATAACTAACAGTAGGTAGAGCCAATATTCAAACCCAGGCAGGCCGGCCCTGGAACCTGCATTCTTAATCATTGTGATACTCAATATGCATATGTGTTCATTTATTTGTAGCTTATCTACTTGTGATAACTGCTACGCTAACTCCTAGAGAAAGAGGACATAGATTATAATGATTAATAAAGCAAGACTGCCACCCTGAATAGACAGCATAACTAACAGTGAAAATTACTGCACAAAAATGAAGGAGGAAAAGGCTGGGGGGGAAGCCATGGGAAGTGCCATCTGGAGATCCAGACAGTGCATTTTATAGCAATGGTGAAGGAAGTAAGGTTGCAGTGAAAGAAAGACAATCATAGAAGCTAGACAGTGTTGTGATTTAGTTAAAAATTTTTGTTTTGTTGTTTTATTTTTCAAGGCAGGAGGTTTTCAAGTTGGATGGGGAAGAAGCTAATTATAGGTCAAGAGATCACAGATGTTTACATCTGAGCACACTTGGAATTGAAGACATGAGCAGGGAGCAGGTTTGCTGTATCTGGGAAGGATGTGACGAAGTTCACAAGTGAGGGTAATATTTAAGGATAATATTAATTTGAAAATAATGTTATGAAAATAAATTTTCACTAATGATCTCACATTTATAAAAACACATATATGTGAATGGTTCATTTATTTATTTGCAAAGGCACAGAAAAATATGAAAGAATGCATACTACAGCAGAGAACATGAGTAGGCACCCAATTATCCATGTGCACCCCTACATTTCCCAGACCCTTTTATAATTAGGTTGAGGACATATGATTAGACTCTGGTCAATAGGATGTGTGGGGGCAGATGAGCTGTGAGCCACTACCAGACCTGGGCCATAAACTATTCCTTCATCCCACTCTTTCCCTGCCACCATGCCCTAGGAAACATACGCATCAAATAGCAGAGCTACAAGGTCGACTGTCCATCATACTGTAATGTGGGGGTAAAATAAGTCTTTATTAAATGTAAAGCCATCTAGTGCCCAACTTGTCTTGTCTAATATTTACACCAAATTAGAACTATCAACAGTGTCTGTTTTTGGAGAGAAAAGGGGGTGTAGTAGAATGGAGACTTTACACTTCAAATTCACATTAATATATGTCTGTATTTTTAAAATCCTTATAATGAACTTGTGTTACTATAATAATTAATAAAGCAAAAAAAGCCTATTTTTGAAAAAAAACCTGTTAAAAAGTTTGTTTGGGTATAATTCATTTAAGTGCTAAACTAAAAGCCCTATAGAGCACCATTTAACTAAGTGTTAGGACTGCATGCAAAATACAAAATAAATGCAGATACGCTCCTAAGAGAGTAGTATACAGAGTTTAAAAACATCTCTAGTGTGAGACAAAGTCACAAATGTAAGAAGCCATGTTTGCTCATTTCTATTTGCCAACAAAATTTCACAAAGCCTCTGACTCTGTGAGAACATGTAGCTCTCTGGAAAGATGCTTTGAAGACAAAATAGAATAGAGCACATGACTCCCACATCTCTTGCCTAAGTCACTATATTCCTTAGAAGATAAATGACTTTATCCCTTGCCTTTTCCTACCCATAACATCTGATGGCATTAGTGATTATGCCTCTGTAATCTCTAACCAGATATACTCTTCCACTCAAACTTTGATGTGATTCTGCTTTAACTTCTGAGCAAGGGTGATGGAATTTTGAATTTACTAAACCTCCACATCCTGTATATAAACTGTGAGCTAAAACATTGTCCTGAGCAATCTGATAGAATCTCTCTATAGTGCTGTTCCCACGCTGTAGACCTCAAGCTATAGTCTTCAGTAAGACTTTTGAATAAAACTTACTCTAATTCTTTAAAGCTTGATTTTTTTTCTTTAGTCAATACTAGAAAGGCAATTAAAACATATGAAAATCCAGCATTGCTTCTAATTAGTTCAGATAAACCTTTAGATGGCAAACCAGACTTACTGTGTGACTTTGGGCAAATTATAACATCTCTGAGCTTATAACTATTTCCCTTACATAAAATATAGTCTTTAAACCAATTTCACCAAACTCTAGAATTTCAGTTCTGAAACATGAATTATAAATAACCTCTAATTATAATAATTAGTCAAAGAGAGACAGACAGGGAGACTGAGAAAAGAAAATGCAGGTAAAGTGATAAATACATCAGAGGTTTTATAATGAAATTAACCATAAGGAACATAAGACATGAAAACTGCCAACCAAAGGACTCCTTAACACTACTTATCAGGCTCTTCTGAGAGTTCAGTTGGAATCAATCATTCATTCACCTGGAATCAATCATCCATTCAATTTCCTTCACTTTTGACTATTTTGCCTATCTTCCTTCAGGGGCTCATTTTGCTTTGACCACCTCTAACTGTTGTGTGTATCCCACAGCTTTTTTCCCCTTCGCTACCTTTTAACCCTTTACTTGCAATAATATGGTCCACTTCCTTGGCTAAATATATTACCTATACGTGCATGGATCACAAATCTATATATCTTGCTCAGACTCCACTTGAGGTCCAAATTTTAATAACCAACTATATTCTATCTTGATCAGCATGTCTCTTTCATATTAATGACACTATTGTCCATCCATAAACCTGGAAGCCAACTCCACTATTCACTCTTCCTGAACCCCCTCAATCAGTCATTAAATCCCTTCCATCTTTTTCCACTCATACTGCCTCAATTCAGATCCTTATCATCTCTTGTCTGGTACAGTAGTAGCTTCCTCACTTGGATTCCTGCTTCCAACCATGATATCCTCTAATCCATCTTCCATACTTCCCATAAATGATTTTTCATTTCCAAATTATGGAATTTTAAATTATCATTGTGTTATTGTTTTACAATTTAATTTCACAGTAATCAGAGAACATGTTTTGTATAATTCCAATTCTTTGAAATTTGTTTACTCCTACTTTATAGATCAGTATGTAGTCAATTTTCTTAATGTTCCCTATTTATCTAAAAATAACGTATATTCTCTAATTGTTAGAAACACTGTTCTACATATACCTGATTAACCTGATAGATCAAGGCATTAATTTAGTTGTTCAAATCAAATACTTTATATCCTTACTCATATATGTGTATGCATAGGTATACATAATTTTTTTGCTGAATCATCTGAAAGTAGGTTGCAAACAATATGTTTCACCCTTAAATATTAATATTTCATCATGCAGTTCCTGAGAACAAGTACATCTCCTACTTACAATACTCAACCAGGAAACTAAGTGATGCAGTAATATTGAAGAAAACCAAAATGTTTCAC